ATATATATACACATCCTATATGCATAGTCAGAAGTAATTTTATACAACATTTATAGTCTGCTTCATTTTAACTGTGACTGGTCACTCGAGGTTGGGTGCGGAATTTTCCATGTGTGGCACCACGGCAAAAAGTTCCAGATTTTGGTGCGTTTTGGATTTTGGATTTGAGGATTAGGGATGTTCAGTCTGTATAACATGTGCTCATGATCCTCACCCTGGACATCTCTCTGGTTTCCTTTTTACCCAAATGTGAAGCTCACAATTCATTCAAGAGTAAACAACTGCAATGTAAATGTACTATCGTAACGCTCTAAGAGGGACACATGTCAAAGTTGCTAATCGGATTAGAGGATCGAGAGAGCTAATCACTACAGTCCTCATTTCAGGGTTATATTTAGCATGCAGTGAATAGACCTTGACCTTTCAAACATAAAGAAATATGTTCTTGCAAAAATGTTGTAATTTTAATATAGCCCAAATATGATGTTTGTTATGCATTAATTACTAAATGCCTTCCAAATATGCCTTCATTTTGGTTTTAGGTGGGAAAGCTTTTTATCTTATCTCTCATAGGAGAGACCACCTCCCAATTTGGGTCATGGAAAGGCAGCTGCTATCGTTTTCAAGGGACATACTTGCTATCTCCCAGGATTCTTGCCGTTTTGCCCTCTTTTTGACTATTAGCTGAAGGAAACGCTGAGTTGAACTGAAACTTCTGTAGTAGAAGAGAGCTGTGTGCACTGGCCTGGACAACACACACTGAATCAGGCTGACAAGCATGGTATGTGTTGTCGTGCTAGCCAACTGAATCACTCATATCCCTTATCTTTATTCCTCTTACAAAGGAAGTTGCTCTCTGGTCCAATCAAAGTCCAAGCCTTTGGCTGCAGTTCTGTGTTCTTTCTTCACTTCTCCTTTCAAGGTTTTCACTTTCCCTTTTCTCCACGAAATCCGTCCTGCCTATGCTGACCCATTAGCAGGCACAGCCAGGCTGTCATCATTTCCATCTGAAGTGCTTTATCTCTTATGTGTCTTCAACCCAAACTTACAGTTCACACATGACCCTTGTTCTTCTTTGAGAGGGCTATTGATTGCACTGCTCATGTGTCCAGCACAACTTGTCAAAAGTGATACTGGCACTATCTGCATTCACTTACTCACCTCCTGTTTTCATCCACATTCCCTTCCAATGCATCTTCCACTTTGGTAAGAGAAAGAACAAGTGCTCTTGTGAAGGACAGTATCGTGCTCACAGCACATTTTCACGTGTTCTCAGAACGTGTGCCACCCAAGGTACTTGCACACACTTGAGACCACCCAAGATGACATTTTCACCTATGTTTTGCTTAAGTTCTCACTAGTGCTTTACAATTTCAAATCTTCCTCATTCTTGAAGTGTTTTCCTCTTAATTTTTATAAAACCACAGACTTCTTGTTTTGCCTGCTTAGTTAACTATTCCTTCTCAATCAATCTGTCTCTCCTATCTGGCTAAACTTTAAAGATTACTTGACTGAAGGCTCAACCCTGAGAACTTTATCTAATTGTACTTTCCTGTGACTTCAAATAACTAAAAAATATAAACTTTATACACAGACACATATACATCCATATATACAGACATACAGTTGTGTTCAGTCCTTACCTCTTCTTCAAACTCACAATAGTAATGCATACTTAATATGTCCACTTGGATATTTAATAGATATTTCAAACATCATATATTTAAGACTGCATTTCAGTCATTCATACCCAGTCTTCCCCTTTTCTATAAATGACACTTCCACTAAGATTCTGAAGGCAAAGTTTCCGGAGTTATTCACACACTTTCTATCCCACCATTGCCCAGTCCATCAATACTCTTGTCAATTCTACCTCCAGATCACATTTTCACTCACATATTTTTTAGCCATGGTGAAGAGTCAAGGTAGTTCCAATTTGTCAGTTCATAAAGGACACAAGATTAGGTTCTTACCTAACTCCTTATTTTCACTCAACACTCAAACAACAGAGTATTTCTTACATACCAGACCATTTCACAACAGCCTACTCCTTCAAAACTAAAATCAAAACTTTTCAGTAGCTTTTCCATTTGCCCTTCACCATGATTTGCAAGGTTCTACCAGATTTGACCAATGTCTTTCTCACTAACTCATCCCATTACTCCATTTGACCTCGCTATACTAAGGTTATACTGTGTTTTGTAGTCTAGTTCAGCAAACATTCCCAAGTCAGGGACTTTGTGAAAGCTGTTTCCTCCGCTTAGCCTTTCCTCCTGACATGCTCTTTTCCTGATCTTCACTTCTCCATCTCCTGGGAAGCTGAAGAGGCAGTAAGAGATAAGAAAGCTAATTTTTTTGGGGGGGGGGGTCCATGGTAATTACTCAGTGGATACTGCCAAATAGTTTAATACTGTTAGCTGCTATTGTTTAATCACCTCAGGCAGAAAGACAGAAATAAAAAAGACTACACAAATGTAAGTCCCTGCATGTATTTAGCAGAGTGTGTCTGGCAGATGGCAAAGGCTCAAAAACTGTTAACTAAGGCCATCTCAATTAATCCTCAGGACAGCAAACTCACTCTTTTTTCTAATGTCTACTCATTTCCGTACTTTACAGAGCTTCTGGGTTTGGTTCTTTGATCACACCTCCTTCTAATTTATCTTGGGAGTCCTCCTCCCTTTGCATGGCTCGCCCTGCAACTCTGGCCTCTTCCCTAAACTCAAGAATGCCTCTTGAAATGAACATATCAGATTTGGTATTCCCCTCTTGTAGTCACCCTGATCTCAGGGAATAACAAATTCTTTCTTCCTGCTGCTCAGACCAAAAAAAGGTCACGTTTATCTTACATTCTCCCTACCCCCCCTTTTCATTCATCATCTGATTGTCAGACCATACTTTCAAAATATGTTTAGAATTTCTCCATCTGTCTCCACCTCCACTCTTACCACACTGAGTACAGTCATCAACATATCGTATCTCAATTTTTGCGATTGCTTCTTCCCGGTTTCCATCTATGGCCACCTGTGTTCTGGTCTCCATAAAGCTCCCAGAGAGATCCTACTAAAATCCGTTTCAGATACACTAAAGTGGCCCTGTTATTGAAAATCCCCCAGTGTTTCTTGAGTCATTCGGAGCAAAAAACCAAACCAAAACAAACAAACGAACAAAAGATTTTTGACAGCGGTGTGAGAGAGCTGCACAAGCACTGATCTCATGCACTACTCTTTCCCCACACTCTGTAGGCTCCACATAGTCATACCTGAACATGCTCCCCTCGCCTGTGCTGTGCCCTGGAATGATTTTCTCCTGGACACTGGCATGGTCCAACTTTTTCATGGTTCTCAGGTCTTTTTCAAGCAGCATTGTCTCAGAGAGAGCTTTTCAGGCTACTCTTGATTAATGAAACATCTCTAACACTTCCTCCTCTTTCCTGATTTATTTTTCTCCTTAGCAGTTATTCTAATGAATAGACAATATAAGTTACTCTTGTATATAGTTATTGTAGATTTACCTTACTTGAATGTAAGTTCCTGGATGGTAAAAATTTTAAGTTATTTTTTTTCCTCAATTCTACCTTTAAGCATCTGGAACTGTGTCTGGCACATAAGAGCATTGGGAACCTCTTTGTTGGGTAAATGAATAAAATGCTAGCTATTAATTTTGTATTCTCTCAAGTAGAATATTAGAATGAAAAAACATGAGAAATATATATATATATATATATATATATGACTTCAATTTTATTGTGCATAACTTGTTTCTGAAAAAAATTTACCAAACTGAATGTTTATAAAGCAAATATAATTCAGAACATACCGGTAACATTTCTATTTCAAAGGACGTGTGATTAATCCTCTGTATAGAACAAATAATTTTCAAGCAACCACTTTAATAATTTCTCCCCAATCTAACCTTTATAAATTAAAAATTTGTCAGATATTCTTACTTCAAAACCCACTTATGTATAATGTGTAAAAGCAAAGATAAAACAGACAGCCTTTGAGACTTACTTTAGCTCATTTTAATTCTAAAATAATTTAGCAAGAAATTTAATGAAATCTCTTAAAGGCATTAAGAGATACTTACCCCTCTTCTATATGGTTCTATTCTCCCAATGTGTTTAAAGTGGTTTTTTAAATTAATTAACACATGGATTAGTGAGTATTCTTGCCCCATACTTGCTCATATTGCTAAGTATATTTGATTTTTCACTTCCACACTTTGTCAGTGTAAGCTCTTTTGAGAAATCTCAACATATTGATATAAGCATAAAATATTTTATGATTTTACAGAAACTCCAAGTAGCTATGTCTAATTCCCATTTCTCAATAAGTAGCTATTACCATAACATTCCATTAAACAGATATCATCATTATTTGCCATATTTGACTGGGAAAAAATTCATCATGGCTTTAAGGCCAAGATAAACCATGGGAATGTATTTTTCTTCCCCCTTTACTTGCTGTTGTATAGCCATGAATCCCATCTAATCAAGAGTCTAGTTTGTATAAGAAGTATTTCATCATAGCCCCTTAACAACCATCAGTATGATGCCTGAATTCTACTCATAAAGTAAGAAAGCAGCAAACCATAAAGAGAGAACTTCAATATGGAAGTCTTCATCATGATTATTCATAATGAAGTGGTCAGATGCTTTAATGTGTGTGATCACCAAGGGCCCAGCAAGTCTCCTTTATTCAGAAACATCTGTATGATTGTACAATTAGTGTATATAGGAGCCATGGCATAAACATATTTTTGCTTATATGTAAAAGAAAGTTAGGCTCAAGTTTCAAATCACTATAAATACAGATTTTATGTCAGTATTTGACATGGTATTTGAGAGTCATGTAGATTTGAGATAGCTTATCATATGCATCAGAATCCTACAAAAATGCAAAATACCTGATGTCCTTCATTCACACCTACAAACTCTTAAAAATACTGTACTGTATCCCTAAAATGTACCAATAAACTCAATTAAAGCTGAAAAAAAAAATTAACCTGATATATTTTCCAAAACCTCCCCTAGGAGGCAGTATTGCTCCCGTTGAGAACCACTGTAAGAATGGGTACAATTCTAAAATTCCTCCTCCTGCTTTGCTTTGCCTCTTTGATGTGCAGATCCTCTGCTGTACATAGGATAAAAGAAAAGGTAACAGCAAACATTTCCTAAACTGGGTGAGCTAGCTTAGTTTCTTGGGCTATAGGTCATCTCTCTTCCCCTTAAACTCTGACAATGGACTGGAGATGGTTAGTAACAGAGCCAACAATCTCATCTAGGTCCTCTTAGGACTTTTCTACCTGAAAGCTGATGAGGGCAAAAGCGGGAATTTAGTGCCATTTGTCATCAACATTGAATTTATTTTTATGTAATTCTGGGCAATGAAAAAAACGAGTAACAACAACAGCAACAAAGACAGTTCCCTTCCTTTACCCTAGTATGAAAAGGAAAAAAAACAAAAACAAAAACAAATCTGCTCTTACAGTAGTTTGAGAGTACTGTGCTGGAATGGAAAATACTCCAAACTTGAAAACAAATACCTATGTGGTAATTTCAATTTTTACTGCCATTTAAAGTGTGATTTTGATTATTTGAACTCTGGCCTGCCTTTGCTTCATCTGCAAAATGGGATAGAGAGTAAAATAGATGATGTTATGCCTGGATCCTTTGAACTATTGACTTCATTGTATCTCTGAACATTTGGAGTTTCTACGTAGACAATGTACTCTGTCCTTTGGTTGTCTGGGTGTCCCTGAGAGAGGTGAAAACTGGGATTTCTACTCGTTGACTTTTTTTGCATACAAGATGTGTGGCATAAAATTTACAAACTTTCTAGAATCCTCTAAGAATATTATTCCTCAGAGTGAAAAGCTTTAAGGTTAAATATTATTATACCTGAAATCCCAGTATTTTAGAATTGAAAAATCACTTGCTAAAATAGTAAATTTAGATATTGTTTTTCCCTAGAAAATCTGTAGATGTGGGCTTATTAACTTTATCTACATTCCAGATGCATACTGAATAGTGCACAAAGTGATAGGCGGTTGTGAGAGTGTGGAAGCTATGAAAGGTTTAATCTTTCTCGTAAAGGTCTTAATAATTCAATGTATCTTAGAATGGGTTTTCTAGAAGCAGGACTTTTGACAGGGATTCTTTTCCAAATGAGTTATTGTGAGTCGGCTGGCAAGGGAAAAAAACCTCTGAAGAGGTGAGGAAAGCAGAGCTGAGCAGGAAATGATATAAGGAAAAATTATGTTTCAGAAGTTTATCATCTCCCCTAAGTTTCTGGAGCCTGGAAATTTCTCAATTATAACCAAGATTTTCAGGCCAGAGGTGTGGGGGTTAAGCAGTTAGGACCTTCTGTTGTTCAGTATTTGCATATATACAGATCATCCTGGGGAGCCAAACATGAGTACGATCTTCCAGGTGTGACTGGGTGAAATGGACCCCAAGAGCTAAGGGCCAAGTTGTGCAGATGGTTTGTCTATGACAGTCAGTCATTGGAGCTGCTGCTGGCCTCAGACTGGAAGAAGAAATTTCAGAGGGATGAATGCAACATAGGCAATGGGTTGGTAAAGGTTTCAAATCATATGCACATGAAATCTTTAATGAGCACCTGTAAGTCACCTCCCAGGAACAGTCACCTAAGTACAATCTGAAATATTGTACGCACAGAGTGAGTGCCACCAGCTAAAAGCGAATGAATGCTCATTCTGTGTTACACGCTGTTGCACAATCCTCAGCTGTATTATCCCTCTTTAAGCCTCTCAACAAATCTACTATGTACATAGTATTATTGCTCCAACTTCCCAGTAAACTGAGGCACAGACAAGTTAGGTAGCTTGGTCAAGGCCATATAGCCAGCAAGTACCAGTGAATGACCATTTTGCTCAGTAATACACTAGGGCTTCCTAAAATAGAAAAGCAAAATCCTAAACCCTATGCAAGGTCTACTAAGTCAAAATTTCTTCACTTGTGTTCATATTTTAACAAGGTATGGCCTATTGTAGTAAAGGGTTTGATAACCCACAGTACTTACTATAAAAACTAAAGCGATTCATACCCACGTCAAAGGGTCAGAACCATTACCTATTGGTAAGAGAAGTCTTCGAACTCGGAGGAGAAGTGTGCAAAAGACAACATTAACAAGTAAAACAATCCAAAAAGATGCTTGTGAAGTTTCATATATAGTCTATATATGGCGGGAAGGAGGGAAAATGAAATTGAGAACGGGCATTCAAGTACCAAACCATTATTGCCCAGGCAGAAATGACTTTCTATTGTCACAGTGTATGTTTGAGGACAGAATAGTAAAAACAATGACATGGGAGACATGGCGCTTAAGCATCCCAAAGATATTCTTTTCCATCTCTGTGCTGGCTTATGCAGCCATTCTCTGTGAAAAATATCCTACACTGCCTTCTTTCCCAGAAAAGAGCTAGATAGTCTAAGACTGCTAAGAGAGAAAATATTTCCTCAAGGTTTTGGAACTTAAAATGCCATACAAATGCAAGGGAAATTTTAAGTTAACTGTGGGTATATTTTGCTGTTGTTCTCTGAAATATATGTGATCTCCATGTCGACTTTCTTAAAAGCATTTCCTTATAAAAAGTGGACTAGAGAGACAGAAGAGGAAAGAAAAAACGAAGACCAATAAAGGAGAGACTGGAGGCATGACACCATTTGGCTACAATAAACACTGTTCTGGCACTTTTATGGGAAAGCAACCACCTACTAAGCATTTTCTCATTACACATTGATACATTTGAAAAGAGAGACAGTTAAGAGGGGAGTCTATTTGTCCTATACGATGTACATTAGCAGATCAGGCTCACTATGTTCCCTTTAATCTGTTAGATATTCTCATCATTCTTATTCAGATCAATATGACGGTTACATAAAATTTCTAGATGTTGTTTAAAGAAACACTTCTAAGTAATGTATTAGTTTATTTCTGATTAAAAACGTTCTTTACTATATTTCATTCTATTGGTTCATACTTTAATCTGTTATTGAAAATAGATTGCCCAGGAAGAAATGACATGTTTATTATCATATTGTGTCTTATAATGATATTGTTATATAGCTCTCTTTGGTATCAGATTTAAAACTTAAGCATTTTAAGCATTAACTAGCATCCTCAAAATGACCTCAAACTCGAATATATGACATAAATTTTATGGTGGAGGTCTTTGACACTGGAGATGAGAGCTGAAAGCCCAAAAGTTTACACTGTGCAAAAGACCAAGGGAAAGGAGAAACTTTAAGTGTTTCAGATTAGGCACGGACTAAACAGACCCCTCCTACTAACCTACTGGCAGGTGTTGAGAGTCAGATGCTTGATTAATCATATTAGTGAAGATTATGAAGACGCTTTAAATTCCCAAGGTTAGTTTGCGGTAGTCATGGCATAGTTCAGAGGGAGCTCGTGAGACTCTGGTTACCATAGGTAATTTAAAATAATACCAAGAGCACTTGTTTCAGCAAGATAGGAGCAGACAGACGTGTTGGATAAGGCTGAATTGAAGTTGAGTCCAGGAGCTCAGGTATACGTGCTAATAATGTTCTACCTCTCCAGCAGGCAAAAGATGCCGGTGATCAATATTGAGGACCTGACAGAAAAGGACAAATTGAAGCTGGAAGTTGATCAGCTCAAGAAAGAGGTGACACTGGAGAGAATGCTGGTAAGTTGCTGTACTCGTTTGGATTTTGTATTAAATGAGAGAGCCTGTGGGAAGAACAGCTTAGAAAACATCGATTGTCTTTTGTTATTCATTTATAGAGCAGTGTGATGTTTATGTAAAAACTCATCCAAGATTAAGAAAATTAATCATCATAATTTAGACTCTAGGTCAAAGTCTTCGAGCAGCGTTTGCCTAATACAAAAGTCACTCTGTAGTCAATTCTTTTTATGATCATTGAGCTAAGAAATGTTTTAATTTTCAAAAGTTTTTAAAAATAAAAGAGGAAGGAAAAATTAAAGAAGGAAGGAAGAAAAGAAGTGGAAAATATTACACACACAGTAATTTAAGTAAACATTGAAATGAAAAATGCATACAAGCATTTTGTTTTTACTTTTCTGAATTGGTGACCTTTTCATTTGATGCAATATTTTGATGTTGTTCATATACTTCAAGTTATGACTTAGTCTTTCCTGCTCTGCCATGGTTAGTATTAAATGAGTACACTTTATTCTATTTTTGCAAACAAAGACAAGTTCAGGCACAAGAACTTACTGATTCCTCCTAAAAGCATCTGATGGTTCTTGGAAATGGTTACTGAGAGCTTTTTACCATTAGAAGGAACAGAAATAACAAAAGAATGAGGAGTTTCCACCGAACAGTGACTACATTTGGCAAGTGTACTTAAATCTCTTCATTTTAGGACAGTTAATAGAACAAATCCTTCCCCACAAATGATAGCAGCACATCTTCTATTTTGAAAGATATATTTTTTATCAGTACAAAGTGAAAAAGGGAGTGTGTGTTCCTTTCATTCCTTGCTAAGACTTCTTACTCCCAATCAAAATTGGCTTATTTTGCGTTTGTAACTGGCTCAAACTCCCCTGCTGCCCTTTCTGCACAGGCAAAACATGTTTTCTTATGAAGATAACATTAAATCCATAGCCAGCATAAAAGTTTGGAAAACATATCACAATTTAGAGACCTTATCTTTAGAATTTGGGGAAAATAAACTTTTGGTAAAAAGAGAGGGTTTTTCCCTTTCGTTTGAAATATTCAACAGTTATTTTATTATTTATACACTCCAGGTTGTTGTTTTGTCAGAGATTTCATTGTCTTCAGGTTAAATTCATTTTGAAATTCTTATTTTAAGTAAACATCTCATACATCCAGGCTGCTCTAGCAGTTCTTTTACCTCGTTACATCACCTTGCTTGTGGAAGTTAAAGTAATTTCATATTAGATTTCAGACTCACTCTCTCTCTCTCTCTCTCTCTCTCTCTCTCTCTCTCTCTCCCTCTCTCTCCACCCACATGCATAGCCTCACACTTGTTCACATCCCCATATACAAACATATTGTCTTATTCTAGTTAGGCTGCTAACTGGATGATGGACTGTCATAGACTTATAAACAGCAGCAATTTATTTTATTTTCTCCAAGTCCTGGAAACTGGGAAGTCCGAAATCAAGGGTCTGCTCCCTCTTTCTTAGAAGACATGTTTACACTGTGTCCATACATGGAGAAGGGGGCGAGGGAGCACTCAGGTGTCTCTTTCATAAGAACCCTAATCATATTCATGAAGGCTCTGCTACCATGAACCAGTCTCCTCCTTAAGGCTTTGCCTCCTTGTACTACCACACTGAAGGTTAAAATTGCAACATATAAATTTTGAGGACCACAATCCTTCTGCCATAAGTGTAGGCATGCACAGGAATTTATACATGCATACTATATATGTATATGTATTCATATTCTATATGTTATAAAGAGTTCACCTCAAAAAAAGTCAGTACGTTGGCTAAAAAAACTTATGAAATGGTCACTTAATGGCGATTTCCTCTCTGGGTCCATTAAAACACCAAAGCTTCATTTTCTCACTAAGTCATTACTATAATGATGTAGACGGGAGAAGAAGAAAGTAATAAACAAACAAACACAAAATGGTTTAGTTCAGCAGGCTCTGCTCTAGATGCCTGGGTTGTGCTGAACAAATCAGCCCAAGTCTCTGACCCCTTGGAGCATGTGGCTTGCGCTCTCATGACCAATCACTACAGACGAATTTAAAGGAAAGCTGCATCTTACATGCTTACAAGAAGCCAGGACTGGTGAAAAATCTGGAGGTGAACTGCTATTCATTCCTCTCCACCTTTGCAAGTCCCACTTTTGGAGAGAGGAAAGAGGTGTACTGAATGCTTGGGTAACGTCCTTAACAATCATTCTGGTGTCTGTCTCCAGCTTTGTTCTGATCCCTGCATCAGGTCTCCTGTGAAGAAGCAGAGGTTTACTGGGATTCCTTAGCTGGAGGGTCCATCTTGGGATCCTGCTTGGAGATAGCAGAGAGAATCATTTAAAAAAACACAACACAAACATTTTTTTGTACTAAATAAATTCTCAGAATCTGCACTATTCTGTTTCAAACTAGACAAGTCTTCTCTTTCTTCCTCTTAAGGTATCCAAATGTTGTGAAGAAGTGAGGGATTATGTGGAAGAAAGATCTGGTGAGGATCCACTAGTAAAGGGCATCCCAGAAGACAAAAATCCCTTCAAGGAGCTCAAAGGAGGTTGTGTGATTTCATAAAGAAAAAAATCTCTGTAATATCTGGAATTTTACTAACAATGTACATTTTTCTCAACTATAATTAAACATTTACATAAATGTTGAAATTTGCAAGTATAAACTTTTAATAAAACCTGGAATATAATAACATGTACATTTATGCTTTTCTAGACCCATCTTTAAAAAGAGTTACTGTGGTTTATGAGAGAGTCTAGTTTTCTGAGATGCCAGCATTTAGGTAATGTTTTATATTTCTTTACTTCATCTTCATTACTCATAATATGCTACCTTTAGAATAAAGGTAGAATAGAGACAGATTTTTACAGTTAAACTTATATTTTATAAGTAATAAGGGTATAAATTTTAGTCATATTTTATAGTTAGACATATTTTTATCAGTATTTCCCTTGCTCATATAACTAGAAGTCTATTGTGTGGGTACAAAGATGACTTATTGTGGCAAGATATGTACTGCAAAGATTTTTGTTCTACTTGTCATTGATGATGTGACTTTCTCCCAGAATACAAATGGAACTAAGCCTTCAGTCTTTGGTTACAGAGCACAGTGAATTTAACCAGCAACTGAATGAAAATTATGAGCACAGACTTAGGAGTCAGTATGTTCTAGTTCTGACATTTTACTGCCTCATTGACTTTGCATACATTCCTTATTCTTTCTAGGTCTCAGAGATTTGTACTGGAGGATGAAGATGTTAATGATTCTCTCTATTTTTATGGGGTTTAAATATTTGGTAGTGCAACTATAATATTTAACGTAATTCTTGGCACATAGACCCAGTAAGTGTTAACTACACTCTTTGCTGGGAAAGAAACTAGATAAAATTTGTAGTCTTTAAGATAAATTCTATTCTATCCCAGCCTCATAATGAACCTCACTTTTCTTTTCTATAGCAGGATGAGGGTGAATGATATAAAAATGGTCATTACTAACTGGCCTCTGCTTCTGCAGTGAGTGACAAGTGTAATTACCCCAAATTGGAAACCATTTTTTGTCTGAGTTTTCTGATTATTAACTCGAATAGATAGTGCTATGTTGTATGTCATAGTCATCAGAATACCCTGAAATGCTAATTGTTTGTCATTCTTTTTAAAACAAGGTAAAAAGCCTCTATTTTTTGGTCTGGAAGGGCTTCCAAAATCATCTTAAGTTTGGCTCCCAGCTCAGCGCTTCTGCTCTGACCATAGTAAACACCAACAAATGTCTGTTGATCTTGTCCAACCTTCTCATTTTGAAATGGAGCACAGAAGGATTCAGAAAGGCAAACCTGAAAATGTACTAGGTCAAAACTGGGCTTCTGGCTGAACTGTCAGCAACACACTGCCTCAGGTCCTCTCCAATATGCCTTGCATCTCAAAGGATAAACTGTGGTGCTTCTTACCTCTTTTTTTTTTTTTTTGAGAAAAAAATTTTTTCCTCTTATTTAAAATTACAAAAATCTCTCTCCTCCCATACAAGTACTTCTAGTCCCCTTCCTGCTTTCCTCCATTTCATGTGTTTTCTTCCATAGCACCCAACACCATCAAATACACCATATATTTTACTTATGTATTAAGTTGTGGTCTGTCCTTTGGAATCTCCCATCAGTGAGTTAATGTTTATTTGAAGAAGTGCTGTATATATCCTTATATTCTCACTAAAATAAATACAAAGACTTAGCTATGGTATTGTAAAGCCAGTCCTAACCAACAGCTCTAGTTTTCACCTTACAGATAGAGATTTTGGAATCTGACAATTCTAATTTAAAACCTTTGCTCTTCCACATTATTGAGAATTTTGGACAGGCTACTTCTAATCTATGAATAAATTAATTATCTTTTTCCCTATGTTTAAAATGATGGATTTAGACAAATCCTTTTGTTGGTGGTGGTGGTGGAGTTTTTTTTTTTTAATTTTAAGAGAGCCTATTTTGATATTTTTAATCCCATCAGAGATAGGCTTGTTGAAAGAAGCCTTAATAAATGCACTCTATTGTTATGAGTCATATAAATGTCCTGTAGTTAACAAATAATCCTTGACATAACATCATAATATCATATTTTCCCACTTGAAATTTGGTTATCCTGATTCCTCAACCTGCACTACCCCTCCAGTCCACCTCATTTCAGCATTTTGAAATGCTTCTCTTCTAAGTATAGCTACTGCCTCACTACTTTAAAAGTATGTATCTTTTTATTCATTTGACATTACTTTACTATCCCTTACTATAATTTGTACAGTCACCTTAAATTCAATGCCGTGTTATTAATTTCCAGACCATGAAACTCTGTTCATCTTTGAAACTGCCATATCAACTGACAAATCATCTCTACAATTAAGGGTAGACAAAGACAGTACTTGTGAAATGCATACATTACATAATTCAGTTTTTATGTATTAATGAATGATGAGATCAATGGGGTAAAACATGGATTGTCAGCAGAATTTTGAACAAGAGAGAAATTATGTAAGGAGGTATAAAGAAAAAAGGCCATAAAAAGAAGGAAGTGAAATCATGACTTTCTCTGGCAGCTCAGCTACCAGAGGGAGTAACTCTATTGTTTAGAAGCTATTACTTCAAGGCTGGGGTTACTAGGTTAAAAGGAACAGGTAAGACTACAGGGAAACAGGAAGTAACCTTGCACAATCTTATCATTTGGCCTTGCAACAAAACTTTCTGATGTCACTAGTGAGGATGAATCATATTCTACAATATATCATTTGGGATGGTTGCATTTTGAAAGTATTTTACACACACAGACAAGGTCAAGCTTTACCAAATACAAAAACAAAGCAACTCACCATTATTTTTATTTAGCCTGATTTGATTTTAGACAGATTTCAAAAGAAAGTGAATCTCAAACTTCCTAAATTCCTAAAAGTTTTTTATGAACATCAGGAAAATAGTTAACTGAGCAAGAAAAGTGGCCAGTTACGTATGATGGAAATTAAAGTCTTGTAGGAACAATATTGATAAGAGAAATCATTTTGATACAGTGAATTATACTTAGTTTTTGAGGTAACTGACACATCAGATCCAAGTCACCTTAACACTCACTTCTTCATCTAGAAAACAAATCTTATGTGGTTATATGGAATAAGCAAGTTCCGGCAAAGTGTCATGAGCTTGTCTTAACAAACTGAATCAAATGTCACATGAACAAAGAATGCATCAAATGTGTTCTAAATACTTTTCTTAAAGAAATTATGTTTTTCTTTCTTTCTTTTTCTGTTTTTGTTTTTTGAAGCAGAGTCTCACTACATATCCTGGCTGGCCTGGATCTTGAGATCCGATGGCCTCAGCCTCCTGAGTGCTGGGATTACAGATGTGTGTGTCTAGCTCCAAAAAGCTACCCTCTTAATGACCTTAAAGGCCACTGTTTACTTCATAAATTTTACAAAGGCTGAATTTGGGAGAAACTACTTTATTTATATAAAAGGAAGAGAGCATGCATATTTTTCAAAACTACAAGATAAAAATAAGACCAGGTCTCTGATCTCTTTTGATTTCAAGTTAATATTAAATGAGGTCCAACATAACTTCCTTCAATATTTTTACATAGTGATTTCTTCATATGAATTTTAATAATATACTTAATAAATCAGAAAATGTTTAAAAATAAATATGATTTTATCCCTTTTGGATGCTGAAGAAAAAAATGTCATGGTCTTTTCTCTTACAATTTAAAAGTGAAAGAGGTTACTTTTATCAAACAGATTCATTTGAACATTTGTCAAAATACAGTGAGCTTTTAATAAAAATTCACTTTTGGTTACACCTGTCATTTTTACTACAGTGTGATTGCATACCTCACTATTTTGTAAAATGATTTTCATTAGGAATATTGTGTAGAAGATTAGTAAGAAGTTAAACTATGTACATTTGAACATCACTAATATAACCTAATTTAAAATTTATTTATAACTTTGTTTATTCTAGGACAGGGGATAGTTCAGTTGTAGAGTCCTTGGCTAGCAAGTAAAAAGGCCTGGATTGGGGCCCTAGCTTCACAAAAAAGAGAAACAAATGTTTACTTAAAACTTTTGAATACTACTGATAGAATAGTTCTGTAAGAATACATGAAAATTGTAATGTTGTTCTTTGGAAGGTAAATTCATTGCCTAAGGATAGGGGATTGCATACTCTTGTTTAAAAAGAAAAAGTTTGCCCATCATTTTATTTTTTAATACTGAAAGCAATAACTAAAGATTTTACAGAATGCCGTGTGATTATGAGATTTCAGCATTTCACAATTCGTTTTAGGTTAATTTACTTATCACTGTGCGTTATGTGATAATGCAAACTAAAAAGAACAGTAGACTACTGCATATTTGTGTTTAAGCCTTACATTACAGCGGAAAAACTTAAAGAACCAACATGGCTGCATAAATATTTACCCCTGAATAGAACTAGATGAAAAAATTACCAAAACAATTCTATTTTCTTCCTCCTCCTCCTCCTCCTCCTCTTCCTCTTCTTCTTCTTTGTCTTATTATTATATTCTTACTATTCTTATCATTAGCAAACTGATTTAATTTTGGTGCTGGACTTAATTTAGGCTCCATTCACACTCACTACTTTCACTCGCTTGTGTAAACTGCATTTAACCAACCTTTTAAAGTTAAGAAATAGGAAATGTAAAAAACAATGAATCCACTTTGGAGAAACATGTGAGTTTGACTTGATTCACTGCTTACGAAGAAGGAAAACTTCAGCAGATGAGAAAAAACTTCTTTAAGTCTATGAGATCCCCAGTATTCCAAACATGGAAAACGAAGCTCCTAAATATTTTCTTTGTGAAAGTGATGTATCCTACTAGACGCATCTGTTTTCCCGAAAATAAGACCTAACCGGAAACTAATTAGCCTTGAAAACGAGGGATCAAAAATGCCAGCCCCAGTCACCTTGCTCGCTTGTCATTACAGGGAACCAGGGAGCACCGGGGTCTAAGGTCACGAACTCTAAATGTTTAGCTAAGGCCTCCAGTCTTCCTTAATCATTAGGAGGTTATTTTGGGAAAGAAAGAGAAATATTTGACTGCTGGGAAAGGTTTCATAACATTTGTGGTTTTTCTCTTCTGGTCTTTTGAGCTGTTAACAATATTTTAGCTCATTAGCTCATACTCACAGGGAAAGTTTATATTCCACGTAAGCATTTTTTCCCACCAGACACCTTCTAGCTGTAGAAAGCAACAGCTAGGTGAGTGTTATTTTCCAGAAAGTGGAGAATCATAAACGAAGCCAAGCACTGCCTACAGCGTTGGAGTCAAGAGTTCAAAATCCTCTGGGAGGGAGAGTGGAGAAACGGTCGAAACCTTCAGGATTCCCCCACTGTCTTCCAATCACTATAGAACATGAAAGGGGTAAAATAAAAACTGTAGGGAGGGCAGGGACAAGGGGAAAAAATGAGAACCAAGACCTGTCATGTAAAGGTACAAGATCCCAATGATGACTGTAACTGTACTGTGTACCTAAAATGTACCAATAAACTCAATGAGAAAAAGAAAAAACCCTATTATTCAGGATGCAGATGATTGTTTAACAACAGAGAATGTCCACGCAATGAAAACCCTGTTCCTATCCCAACACCACCCTTCTTCTTCCTCCTCTCAATTTTTTTCTTTTTATTGAGTTTATTGGTACAATCTAGGTGTACAGTACAGTTACACTCATCATTGGGATCCCGTACCGTTACATGACAGATCTTGGTTCTCATTTTTCCCCTTGTCCCTGCCCTCCCTTCACCCCCTTCTCCCCTCCCCATTTACAAACACTTTATTTCCATTTTTTTCAGTTTCTCATACTTTTTTCTTTCCCCTTATTTCCTTTCCCCCACCCTTCCCACTTTCCCTACACCTTTAGCCCTTTTCTTCCTATTTCACATTATTAATTATCTCATTAGGATCCTGTGTACTATTAGAGTTTTTCACACCAGAGAAACTATTCGGTATTCCAGTTAAAGAAATCTCTGTATGAACATTAAAAATAGGGAATCCTAAAATAAAACTAAAAAGGAAAGTAAAAGAGAAAAGGCAATGATGTAACATTAAAATAATCCTTAATTCTGGAGATGAAAATGGTCCCTGAACATATTTAAATTGCTTCTTGCTCTTGTAGTCTTATCTTATTCTTTTTTTCATTATTTAGAGAATACTTTATTAGTTTCTGTAATCAAACCCACGTAGATCTGACCTTACATGTTTAGTGCAGTGCGTTACCCCTGTACACATGGAAAAAAAATAAAAAATAAAAATAAAAATATTAACATTTCTAGACCAATATGGCTGTCCATTTCTGTACAATGTCAACTCAACGCAGTGAATTGGGATGACTTTTTCCTTTCAGGCAGGAAATGGGTAAACATCAGCAGGTGCTGGTGGGTATTTCTTGAGCGCAGCTGCCTTTCACTTTCCAAGGTGTTTATCCCAAGCCTCCAGCTTTCCCACTGTATAGATGGAAAACTCACAGTCTGCCAAGTTCTACAACTTTTGGAAAGGTGAAGGGCCATTATTTCCTGCTGGATAATGTCCTCCTTTCCTAGTTTTCACACACAAAACCCGGATGTGACTTGGAAAAGAAAAAAAAAGGCTTAATGGTCCAGCCCGCCGGCCAGGCTCACCCTGCACCTTCCCCCGCCCAGCCCGGCGCAGGCCTTCCGCGCTCCGGGGCCGGAAAA